CACACACTGGCTCCCGATTTGCAGCCGGTCGCCGTTCATCTGTCGCCGCCACCGGCTGCATCTGGTCTCTGTTTTGTGGCAGTGGCATTTATTACGGCAATTTCCTGTTGCCAATTGCAGTTTTATAAACGGTAGTCGTCGCGTCCACTACACTCCCTCTCACCCTCTTTTGGACTGCCCACCTCTACCCCTCTCTGCCTCGCTGGCTGACAGTAAGAGGAGAGGCCTAAATGATTCGCCTCCAGCCAGAGAAAGTTGGAATCCCTCAATTCCTCTGAACTCGTCATCTGATTGCTCTGGCAAGAGACATAATAATTTATCTTCACATTCTGTCGATTTCCTGAATTTAAGAATTTACATACAAATATTGACAATTTCGTAAAACAAAATGGTTGGACACTCTAGCAGCACTTTTATACAAAATAATTGTCTAATTTTTCTAGATTTGTATTCAGAATTAGGAAGCCCCATTTTGGGAGCCAGCCAATTGTTGCGCCTTCCATTATTATTTCGCTGTTGGCAGTAAACATTGTTTGCAATAAATTGACCTTTACGTTTTAATTGCGAAAACGCTTTTTCTCTGAAATATGTCAATCAGCTGCTCAACAAATTATCGCCCGGCAAATCAATAAGCTAACGAGGCGGCAATTCCAGCATTCGTGAGTAATTTGCTGTAATTGTAAATGAGTTTTATTCAATTGCATTATTGTCGCTTATTTATCGTTGCAATTAGGCATTTATCGTCTTATATTTTATCTGTTTAGGGAGTTCCCGTTCCCACTCTCAGCTATACATTACATCATTGCACACTTATATCACTTATTGTGATTTTTAATTTGAAACAAATTGAATATTAATCTAATTGTCCTTTGCCTTCATGTGGAAGTATGCACAGTTCCTCCTCCTCCTCCTCCTCCTCCACCAATGTGGAGTCCATTTCAGTGCCTGCCTCCGAGGTTGGCACTTGGCAAATAATTTCGTTTTAAATAATTTAACGCTTGAGAGTTTTCAGCGAGTGAGTATAGAACGTACTCTTCGCAGGCCCTCCTGGGCCGTGGCCCAAAAACTGGCTCTCGCTTATCAGCGAACCGCAATCGAATGAATTTACATAAATTGTATGTACTAAATGGCAAACGAGCAGCGCCTTGCCCCGCGGTGGAACTACGGAACTCGCGGAAAAAGGTGGAAAAGCGGGCCTACAAAAGCCCACAAAAGGGGTCCACCTCTCCCTCGCTCCCAGTCTGTGTGTGTGTGGAGTGGAGTGGCTGCGGCAAGTTTAGACATTTTGCTACACATTTTTATTACACTTACACACACGAAGCGGCAACGAAGCGGCGGGGCAGGACGGTGGGTAACCGCTTTGTGAGCGGAAGCGGCAATTGCGTGGCCATAAACGAGAGCCTCTAACTGTAACTGCCTGCAACTGTTTGTCTGAGGCCAGTTCTTGGCTGTGTGGCTGTGTGGCTGTATGTCCCCTCGCCCTTGGGTCAGACCAGTTGCCAAGGCTGGCCATTTACTATTGAATTTGCGTACACGGACTGGACGCTTTGAAGCGGCTCCAGAGGACACTGCAAATGCAAATACAGGATGAGAATATTAATGCGAATTTAATTTGGGATTAAGTATAACAAATTCGTGCTTCCCATGGAACATATGGCCCTTTGTGCTGATTACTATTTTCAATAGTTAAATGTCTTTGACCGAATCAATGGATACACTTTCTATAAAATCTCTGCTACTCTTTCTTTCAGGCGGCAAGGATGATGATGGTAATAGCATCAAGAGCGGCTCCACCAATGACATGAGCGGACTGAGTAAAAAGCAGCGCAAGGCCCGCACCGCATTCACCGACCATCAGCTGCAGACGCTGGAGAAGTCCTTTGAACGGCAGAAGTACCTGAGCGTGCAGGAGCGTCAGGAGCTCGCCCATAAGCTGGATCTGAGCGACTGCCAGGTGAAGACCTGGTACCAGAACAGAAGGTATGTCTGCCCCCGGAGCCAACCCAATGCGAACACCACCCTAAAGCAATCTCTCTCTCTCTGTGTCTCTCTCTCCGTGCAGAACCAAGTGGAAGCGCCAGACGGCAGTGGGTCTGGAGCTGCTCGCCGAGGCTGGTAATTTTGCCGCATTCCAGCGGCTGTACGGCGGATCACCGTACCTGGGCGCCTGGCCGTATGCGGCAGCTGCCGGCGCTGGGGCCGCTGCTGCCGCCGCGCATGGGGCGACGCAGCACACCAGCATTGATATATACTACCGGCAGGCGGCCGCTGCCGCTGCCATGCAGAAGCCCCTGCCCTACAACCTGTATGCCGGTGTGCCCAGCGTGGGCGTCGGTCCGTTGGCTTCCGCCGCCGCAGCGCCCTTCTCCCACCTGTCAGCATCAAGCTCGCTGTCCTCGCTGAGCAGCTACTACCAGAATGCAGCAGCTGCCGCAGCCGCCGTAAATGGTCCACCGCCAGCGTCCGCAGTGCCGGCCCCTGGCGGCCCACTCAAACCGTTGGCCAGCAGCTCGCCCATGCTTGGCGTATCCGCCTCTGCTTCGGCTTCGGCTTCGGCATCGGCATCGGCATCAGCATCGCCACCGCATCCGCCCTCGACGCCGAGTCCCACGCTCAATCCGGGAAGTCCGCCGGGCCGCTCGGTGGACAGTTGCTCGCAGGCGCAGTCAGACGACGAGGATCAGATTCAGGTCTGAGTAGAAGCGTCGACAGTGAGCCGCCAGTAAATGAGAAGGGTGTGGTTCTACGTATGTGTACATGTGTGTGTGTGTGTGTGTCTGTGTGTGTGTGTGTGTGCTTCAAATGTAAGTGGGGTCATGCGGTGCCAAGAGAGAAGCTGCCTAGAAGCTCAAATCCCATTATCCAGCACCCAAAAGTGCGAGCTACGGCCATAAAAGTGAAAGGCAATCACAATTCGAGTTCAACTTTCATCGGAATCTTTCATCTATTTCATTTCATTTGCTATAATTTATTTATATTCCAATTCATTTTCGAATTGTTCATTCACGTAAAGTCTTCAGCTAAGGCAGGACACTTTCTGCGAATTGCAAGCCGCCGCATGGCCCCCTATCCGCTCCCATTGGGTTGCGCTTTTCTCAGTGTGTGTGTGTGTGTGTGTGTGTGTGTGTATTTAATCGTATATGTGTATATGCTCATGTGTGCTTGACTAATCTATTTTGAGTTTCATCTAAGTAATTTATTGAAAATGTTTTATGAAGCATCTTTGAATCGTGGAACTAGAGTATTTAAGTATTTATTTGAATGTTGTAAAAAGTAGCAGCCAAAAAACGAAAGCAAAGGGGAATGTTGTACACCTAAGGCCCAACCACAAAATGTATTATCACCAAGCAACAGCAGCAGCAACAGCGACAGCAACAAAAACAACCAACAACTAAGCGACAACTTCGCATTGAAATTTGAAATAAATCTCCCCAATTTTTTTTTTGCGTAGCTTAGTTCTATAATCGTTGTGTAACTGTAAAATGTAAACTGTAATATGTAAAGTATTCTTAAAGCATTTTTTTGTCTATGTTAGTAGCTAAACATATAAGTTTTTGTCTAAATAAAAGAGAATAATATGAAAATAAAGCATCGTTTGGTAGGGGTTGGGTGGGAGCTCGGCACCCGACGTGGGTGGGTACCGGGGAGCAATTAAAATAATGACCAACCGAAACAATTTACAAACGATGTGTGGGGGGTGGCATGGCAATTGAAGGGAGAGGCCAGAGGGTGGAGGGTAGAGGGTAGAGGGTAGAGAGGGACAGAGACGACGACGTGCGAGCCAACCCCTAATGATAATAATTGCATGCAAAATGCATTTAACCGCAATTAGTGCATTTATTAGGCCAAAAGCTGATATATTGAATAACTGCCTTTGGCCACCAGTTGGCCAAAGCAGCAGGGCACAGCCAGTAGGGAGGGAGGGGGCTGTCTTGAACAGTTTTGACCATGTCCCGTGTACCCGTACCGAGCCCCTGCTCTCACCTGGCCACAAACGCCTTGCGTGCTCGCATGCAAGCAGCGCTGCAGGCAAAGACCAGCCAAACGATCCTTGAAGTGCAGAGCCAAGGATATAGCCGGACAGCTGACTGGCAGCAACAGCAAAGGCCAAAAACGGTCAGAGTAGAGCCCATGTAAATCGCTAAATTGATCCAATTCCAAGAGTTGTATCAAAAGCGAACAAAATCCTTGAACTGTATTGAAGGACTGCACATTATTTCTTCGCTTTCAGTTAGCCAACTTCATTGCTACAATGTTGAATATTTACCGCACATTGGATGCCAATTTAGCTACCCAAAATGTTCAAGAATCGGCACCAAGCAGTAGCCATCCATAATAAGTTTGTTACTCAAAATAGTGTTCCACATGCACTTATTTTTGATCGTTCCGAAACAGTAGTCAGTGGACTGTAGTCTGCCGTTTAGGGTATGCATCAGTCGCTGCTGCTGCTGCTGCTGCTGCTGCTGCTGTTGTTCCTGTGTCCACGCGTGTGTTGTTGTTTTTTGTTGTCTGTTTTTTTTTGCGCCTTCATCGACAAATTGCTGTTGACTTAAAACAAAAGCGACGCTTGGTAGGACAATGAAATGACAACAGCACAATAAGCGGCTTGGCTTGGTTCTCGGGTTGCCCTGTCGGAGCGGAGACTGGTCAGGTCTGCTGCTCCGGTCTGGCTTGGCCAGAGGGCAACCTTTCATTAAAGACAAATGACACAAAACAGAAACTCTGTGGGCCCTGCCGGCGCACGCTCAATTAAACACGATCGCTGTTTCAGTAGTTGTTGGTTTGCCGTTTGCCGTTTGCTAATTATTGCGAGCAATGCAAACAACAGAAAATAGTAACTAAAAGAACTCTCTGGTCCAACGAAATGTACATAGATACATATGTGTATGTGTATGACAAACAACTTTACCGCTTTGTCAATAATTAAAGGTTTGAAAAGCGATTGTTTTATGCAAACATCTCCCTTTAGGGTGTTTGGGTTTATTAATATTTCTCTGAGTTTTAATAATTATTGAAACACTTATAATGTATCTCCGCTTATGCGGCTCCATCTACTGCAATTGATCCTGCTCGTCGTCCACTTTGTAAAGGGTCTGGGTTAAGAACTTGAAGCCACAATGGGGACACCCACGAAGGTCCATCGAACATATCTCCGAAGGATGGACGGCACACACCTTGGCAACGCGTCCAGTCACGAAGCGGGTACAGGCGCCACATTTGTAGACCTTTCTTTCACGGTTGCAGATGCAATCGGCCTGCGTGTTTTTCTTCTGAAAATAGTGTGAAAATAATATTGAGTGTGGAATAAGCATAAACTCCGATTCGATTGCTGACTCACCTGCTGTGTATCTGCCACGCCGTCGATGGGCTTCTTGGGATACTTGCGCTTCTTGGGATACTTGCGCTTCTTGGGATCCTTGCGCTTCTTGGGATACTTGGGCTCCTTGGGCTTCTTGGCCTTCTTGGGCTTCTTGGCCTTCTTGAGCTTCTTTTCCTGCTTTCGGGCTACTTGGTCCGATGATCGGGCATCGAGGCTACCATACATATTTAGGAGTCGTTCCGTAAGAATTTTCTCATCCATTTTTGATTCTACTTGAAGTAATAGTCACAGGGAATACTTGCAATGGCCATAGTGTCGGAAATACTAACCTTTTTAGTTATTACAATAAAATCTTTTCAATGGTTCTGTTCGGACTTGCAGCGCAGCTTGCACGTGAAACTTTTGCAATTTGCTTTGAACTTTGCCAACTGATTTTGCCCATAAAGTGCTGCTTTGCAACCAGTATTTTGGGAGCAATTAAAAGAGACGATGTAGCCGATGATATGGCAAAATAATTCTCGATTTCTACTTAATGACATCTGCCAGTCATCCGTAGGGATGCTTTGAGTAGGCTTGGAAAAAACTTTAGTGTTGTAACAGGCACTTGGGGACAGTGTTACGTACTTTGTGCACAAATACCACAGCTACAGTCAGCTATCAATTGACCCCCTAAACAGTGTAGCTTTTCGGTTGTATGCCTTTGACTAGTTGGTTAATTTGTGGGAATTATTATTGTATCACTAGGAAACACAGACAGGGAATGGCAGGGTCTTGTGCCTTGTTCTACGGTGTTTCGGTTATAAATAAAGGATTGCCACAGCTCCAAGCAGATTCAACACTAAACTGAACTTGTCTTAAATGCAGGCAACAGAAATCATAACTTTCGATCCGCCAAATATTCGATTATAAAAACAATTATAAAAGTCTGCACTCGAACATAAGTACACGAAGAAACATGGACATATGCAAATACATTTCTCCACTTATTTATGTTCATATGTACATACACTCGTGCATACACATACATAGCGCCGAAATTGCGAGTTAAACAAATTGGCTGTAGATTCATGTATAAATTAAGGCAGTGGCAGAGAAAACACACGTCAACAGGCAGCCTCCTCACTGTTCACCATCATCACGATTGCCGTCAACGTCATCGTCATCGTCATCGTCACCAACCAGCAATGACATCCAGCCTCTGCTGGTGAAACGTTTGATATGCAAACTTTGCCAGCTGATGGATGGATGGATGGATGGTTGCCGTTGGGGGACTGGGACTTGCGATTCGGAATGGGGAAACTGGGAAACTGGGCGGGGACTGGTGTATTGGCCCTGGACGCATTTATGAAATGAAGCAGAAATATTGCCTGCTTACTGTGCTGTAACATCAATTTGCATGGAAATCACCCGCCGACTGTCAAAGACCTGCCACACGCACATGAAATGCACACTCCCACTACGGCCAATGGCCATACGCAGATGCCGCCATACATAGACATCCAATTAGCCGTACATTTTTGTGGTTGGACCAGCAGCAGCAGCATCCACAGCTCCAGCTACGAGCCGCAATTCGGTTAAGCAGGAAATCAACAAGGGTGGCCTCCAGCTCCTGCTCTGGCTGTTGTGTGTGTGTGTGTGTGTGTGTGTGTGTGTGTGTGTGTGTGTGTGTGTGTGTGTGTGTGTGTGTGTGTGTGTGTGTGCGTGGGAGTGTCGCCATGGCCAAACAATTCACAGAGGAAATCACATGTGATTATTAACGCAATTCGCAACATCTTTATTCCTTGAACAAAAACCAAAAAATATTAAACTTGTACTTGAACATAAATGGTAAGTAGATGAACACATATGTATGTATGTATATGATATGTGTAAATATCATTTCTTTCTTATAACTTTCTGCAAATATTCTTATTTATCCATTTTGTGACGCTGATCTTCTGAAATGATCTTCAGATATCTTAGGCACTTATGTACGAAATGCTTTGGTACTCGCGACCTGGCACACTCCATGCGCCATTCCTGTGCACCTTTATCTCAAAGTCGAGTTGCTCCAGCAGACCAGACTGTAGAACGTGCAGAAAATATCTATTAAACGGCATCAATAAAGTATAAACACATTAAGCAGATATATGTTAATCTCGTACCCATCGATACAGAGTTCGTGGAATGGTGTCCACTTGTGGCACAGTGGACATGTCCAGCGATTTTCACACAGGCTCTTCACCAGATAAGCTGCCGCATCGAAGCACAGAAAGTGTGTGCAGGCTAAGCCGCGACACGGCACTTTAATCTTCCTCTCATTCACGGGACAATTCAATGACACCATTATGTTGGGTACATCGGGCCTCGCGGCGAACGTGTTATTTACCAAAACTATTCGAATATTAATATCATAAAGTAGCTAGAATTCTATGTAAGAAAACTCACAACATTTTTGCACCGAATGAGCTGCCACCATTTTCTTGATGCTGTTCACCATGTCGTTGATGATAGGATGTTGATCTGAAATAAAGCCAAAGGTAACTCCTCCTTGGTTGGTCATGTTTGCACGTTGAAGTTCCCAGCGCTCGGTAATGTACTGTGGACTGTGTGTGTTGGTAAATATTTATGGCATTAATTATTTAAATGGTGCTCTCGGCGTCCAGCAGACTCGGGTAGAAAACACGGCTTCTCTTGCACTATGATGTCCAGATACTAGGGGAAACTACATGTGCCTCGTGGTGACTGAATGCGCGCCAAGAATCAGTTGAACTTGCACACCGTAGGCCACTTTCTTGGAAATTGAACTCGCTTTGACTGTCCCACACTGGAACGACACGTGCTGCGCGATATAATATCAATTGGGGTAAAGCAGATCGCCAAATAATTGCATTAACACATTTAAACTTACCATTTAATGGGCTTCAGCAGAGTTGTTGTTGTGGCCACGCGCCAAAAATTGTTCTCATTTGTATGTACTCATATTGGCGGCACTAAGGGCACTCGCGAATGTTTTTTGCTCTAATTATTCAGCAATCAAATATCGGATCCACTATATCAATAGTTTAGAAATATTTTCTGCAGCATTAAGCTGAATAATATTGTTGTTAGTTGTATTAATTACACACTATATTTGTTGTATTGTAGACAAGTTAAGTGGGTTAACTGATATTTTAAATATCGAATAAAACTATCATGCAACTACCATTCTGTGCAAAGTAGCAACAACTAAATAACTATTTAGACTTAAAATAAAATACAATTATGCTAAAATGCTGTACGCCCTGAGAATCATCTAACTCCTAAACTAAAAACAATCAGTAAAGGAAGTCAATTGAAAGAGAGCCGATAAAAACTATCGGTAGGTAATTAAAAAACACTATTAGGCAAATGTTTTTATTTCTTAATTCAACAACAGAAAAGAGAGATGTGGTTATATTTTAGCGCACAAATCATACTGGCTAACTGTGTGTAAAAACCTTTGACGCAGAGCATTTTCGTTTGCTCTTTTTTTAGGGCATATTTTTGAAGTGAATACATTTTCAGCTATCCATTAGTGTTCAGCCTCTGTAACTTCACTTGTTTATATTTAATAAAAGTATATATATGCACAATATATATAATATATATAATAATAATAATATATATAATAATAAACTGCCCAAAATGAAAGTGTATTTGTTTGAAAAATAAATGTAAGCGAGAACGAGGACGTGTGGGACGCTTCTTACGCGTCAGAACTGTTATACCCGGTACTCAGTGGTACTTACATCTGTAACTTAGTGGTTGTTTTAAAGTTATACAATTTTCTTACATATGTCGTCTACATCTACGTCACTGTTACTGATACTGATGCTGAAGAAGCTAAATTGCAACCCTGCGCCGATAACCAAAACAAAAGAATATTGGCGCCAAAACGCTTTCAGAATATAATTTGTTTTTAATGTGCGTCTAATTATTATGGTAAAGTGTAGAATTGTTATAGACAAAATGTGACATTTTCTGCGAATACTGCTTATTCCTTTTGATCGCTTGTTGGTGTTCAACTTTCATTGTTCGTTGAGTTTTACAGGTAATTTGAATCATAGCACCTAAGCACACTCTTCGCCTGGCCAAATCCCAAGCTTCTGTCATAAATCGCAAGAGTTTCCTTTGCTTCACACCACACACCCAAGCCTATGGTCCTTTTGCATGTTTAATGATGTCCTTTGTGCAGATGGGCGACACTTTAAATTGCATATTCTTCCAGCAGTGCAGTGCCGTTTGTGTCTGTCTGCCGTCGCCTCTTCCTTGTCATCATCTTTGTCCATTTGGCAGCCGTTGCTTTGATTTATGTGAACTTCACGCTTTGTCTTGCCTGCCCTTTGGCCGGAGACTGGAGGGAGAGGTTGCATGGGGGTGGAGCATTGTCCCGACACGTGTGCTCACAAATTGATCCTTTATGAGCATTTTGCGGTTAATAATGCCCCGGCACGTGCCCAGCGTTGCCCCCCCTTCCGAGCTAGAGTCTGGCCAGAGCCTGAGCCTTTAAGTGTAAATGATAAGCTCAGGCTAGGATGAGTAGTGGGCGAATGGGATGGTTCTGAGGGATGGTAGTTGGGCCCCATCGTGGTCCTCTGCCAGGGGTTAAATGTTAGTTTGTTTTTGGGCCAAGGGAAGGAGATCTAAAAATGACTAAGAGCCTTTGACATGTGACGCCTTTCGTCGACTTTCCCTGTTTGTGTTCAGGCCCTTTGTTCGGTGCCTGTTTTGTTAGTTTTTGTCGGTTTTGTGTTGGACTTTAAAGTGGCAGGACAGAGTCGCTAAGCGCCTCAGCATCAGCATCAGCATCAGTATCCGCATCCGCATCCGTAGCATCAGTATCCCTGTGTTTGCCCCTGAGTATTCCTCGTTCTGTGTGTGTGCGTAAATCTCAAATGCCACTTCACACTTAATTTGCTCATAATGCCCAACGTAATCCGTTGACTGGGACGCGGCAGGACAACCCCTGCTAATATCCTGCCAATTACACTGACAACAACAATATTTTTTTTCGAAAATTGTATTAGCCCAAAGGAAGAGCCAGACCCACCACCACCACCACCAATGCAGTAGCAGCAGCATCAGCAGCACTACCACCAAGCAGCAGCAAATCCAGAGAGCAGAGCAGCGAGAAGTGGGTTGGGAGGGGAAAAAGGCAGTCGCCAGATTTTCTGCTGCATTGGCATCATCCTCAAACAGATGATCGGCTCAGATGGGATCGAATGTGCTGGGGGATGGACTGTGGATGGTCTGTGGATGGCTTCTTATCAGATGCCCGCTCGCATATGCGGCGATAATGCCGCGACTAATGTGACAAAAATATTTCGAGTCCTTGGCCTTGGCTGATGTCCTTTTCGCAGCGCCGCTCATATTCTCATCACTGATAAGCATGCGGCACACAACTCAATCGACAAATCCTCCTCAACGAACATTTTACTATTACATTGCCTTTGCCTTTGCCTTTGCCTGCGGCAAGCATTTTAATCTCTCGCTCGGCCCATTGACAAATTGCCTAGATTGATGCCTGCCGATAGAAAATGGCAACAAATGTTTTAATTTCTTTCTTCAATGCGCAGGGGATTAGACCAGGGTCCAGGCCCAGTCCCAGTCCCAGGCCCTGGCCGCTTGTTGAGCTGTGAAAAGCGTTTGGCAGCTGATTTCATCAGATAAATATCAGATTGGAGGCTTGGTAAAAATACGTTTTACATACTAATAAATACGTATGGCAATTAACGTTTAGCTTTAGCTGCTACACTGATCTGTGAGGCATTTTTATTTATTTCTAAACCAAATTTCCCAAAACTGAAGCTTTAAAGAGAGTTGAAAGTTGTGGGCCATAAACGGCAAACGGGAATTTGCATAACTATAGCTGGTACTGGCATATAAATCTTCTATATGCTTTCTATTTAACTTTTACTAAAGACTTCCGACACATTTCTGCGCCAGCCAATTTGCTAAGACCCTTCCATGCCATTCAGTACCCAATCCCCAATCTGGATGCACTGGCAGGTGCCTGCAGCCACTTTCAACACCTACACACCATGTTCCAGGTCCCACAAGCAGTGCCTCAGTCTCAGTCCGTGGTCTAGGAGGGTGCACGATGACGATGGCGTGACTGGCCTCCATTTGGACAGTCGGCCAGTGGCCGTGGACGAGCTGGCCCCAGAGCTTTACTGTGCAGCGGTTCGCTTTGTCTGTGGGCCCTCGAGGCTTGTAACTTATCTAAATGAACACAATTATTGAATATAATCGTTGCAAAAGAACGAAGCGAAAACAAACACTTGAATTTTGCATGCCGTCCTTTAGGCGGTTAAAACGCCACAAAGCAGCGACCAAGGAATACTCTTTTCAGGTAATCTTTATGTAAAGCAAATTCAATTCAAACATTGTCGATGAATTAGTTGGTAAAATAGTTACAGAACCACTTAAACTTGTATCAATAATTAAATTAACATTTTTTACACAAATACTAATTAGTTTTGCCTTACGAAATATATTGGAGTTTAATCTGTAGAAATTTCTGACATTCTGACTCCTTGACCGAGTTCAATTAGCCACGAAACAAAGCGAAAAAATGTTTTTGCAATTATCAGGCAAATATTTATTTAAGCGCAATTATCCGAACACGACGAAAAAGAGCAGATAAAAAACAAAACAAAAATAAAAAGGCTAAAAAATCAAATGAAAAATTCAACATGCTGGCAATTAAGCGCAATTTCCGTTCGCTGTCAAATGTTTATTTAAAATGCATACACACACACACACACACACATACATGTGTGTATGTACATGTATGTGTCTTGCTTTTTTGTTTATGAAGCAAATTATACAACACACTGCTCTCCCTCCCACGGCACTCCCCCTCGCAATTTGTTACAAGATGCATGGGGGGGAGTGAAGAACAAAAAACTGAAAAGTGAAAAAATTCAATTAAATAAACTGCAAATAACTATCCATTTATTAATGGGCGACCTGCCTGCCGATTACCTCCATATGGCCCGTGTCTGTGAAATTCCCGTAAAATGATACACAAAATGCAAATAAAACACACACACACAAAAGAGTTCAACTCGAATGCAACAAAGTTTATTCCTCACCGTTCGACGAACTGAAAGTATTTTGTTTTATTTTGCCCCGCACACCCATCCACCTCTTTTTGTTGTAAATTACACATTTTTGGCAAGGCAAATGGGCGGAGGAGCTAGCGATTTTGGGAGAAAATTCGCGAACCGTGGGCGTTTTTCCGGTCTCCGTTCGCTCAGCCCCGTATCAGCAGTCAATGCAATTTTGCTGCCCTATCTTTAGCGTGGAAATTCTAAACGTTTTCAGACTCAACACACAGACTCAGGTCAGGCAACACAGGCAAGAGTCTGATTAAAACAAAACTAAACTTTAGCTAGCTTCAATATCAGAAGAACACCATTATCTTTCTGCCTATTAATATGTGTTATATTTTTGCTTTTATTCTCGTGCTGTATTGTGCTGTTTTCTGTTTTTGGTGCAGGTATTTTTCGCACATTCTCGTACATTTGCTGTATATTTTTGTTTGATGGTAATTTCCAATTATAACGCAGCGCAACGGTTGCGTGCAACAAATGACAAGCTTTTATGAACTCGCGAGACGTACCCAAAAGTTGAGCTGGACACCCTTGAAATTATGATTTCCTACTCCGTTTGTGTGGCGAGACGAGGCGAGCCACTGATGAGGATGAGCAGCACAGCACAGCACCCACACAGGACAGGAAATCAGGATGAGCTGAAATTATGCCAGCGGTTTCAGTCGGCTCGCCACATCCTAACCAATT